TTTTTATTTTTTAAAATTCTTTTATTGATTTATTATTTAAATAAAAATGATAAAAAAAATAAATACATTTTAAAAAGAAAAAATAATACCTAAATTCGTATTATTTTTTATAATTTTGTTTTTTTGACTTTATATTTTTACTTTTATTAGTCTTTTCTTTTACGGATTCATTTATGATTAATATTGCTTTACATTGCCACATTATTTATTATTTATTTTATTTATTATTCTTTTTATTGTTGTTTTTTGTTAAATTCTTTTATGGATTTATTTTTTGTTATTTGGCTCTCTCACTACTCCATGTAAAACAGGTCTTTCTAACGAATGGAAGGATAAAACATTGTTCATTCTGGAAAGGTGAGACTTTCTCAAAATGCAAAGACCAAAGCCTAATGAGTCCAAACGCAGTATTTTATTTATAACTAACTGTATCTGAGAACTTGCAGCCTGTCATACTTTCAGTAGGGATCAGTGAGAGTTGTTTTTAACGCCACCTACTGGTTTGAACTGAGATCTGTCAAACTGAAACAGATCCTGCAGTACGTGGGCCTGCATCCCAACCTGATGCAGATCAGCGTGAACATTCTTAAATTAGATATTTACAGCTTTCATGTCTGCTAAGTACGAAACATCGTTGTTCTTGAGCAGTCGAATCAGATCTGAGTCCTGCCTGCTGGTAAAAACCGTAGCTACAGTCGTCCTCTAATGCATTCATCCCCTTCCATTAAAGAAAAGGCAAAATTCACAACAGTCACTCAAATAACTACAAACTGAAAAAAGTAATAATAAATAAAAATTTGCTAAATTCTAATTTAGTGAAATAAGACGTTGCTTTTGAATTGTGGTTGAAAAGAATAATTTTTAAAAAACAAAACACAACTGTCCCGGACAAATGAGAGGCCTTTGCTGATGAGCAGTGAAATCAGAACACCTGTCAACAGGTGCAGAAGTCTGACTGAGAGTTACAGAAAACACCTGATTGGCTCAAAGGGTTGTTCAACTACATATTAGTTTACGGGTCCCATCATGCTGGTTTGCTTGTTTTTTCTTTGCTTGTCTTTAATATTTCTGTTGAACCACAATTCAAAAGCAACGTCTTGATTTTCACTAAATTTTTATTTATTATTACTTTTGTTAATTTCGACTTATTTCAGTGACTGAAGCTGTTTTTTTTTTACCTTCTTTGATGGGAGGCTTTGAACACATTTGAGGACGACTGTATATATTTTTAGAATACAAAATTCGCACTATAATTGCTTTACTGTCACTGTTTGTGAACTGGAAATATATAATGCATGATACTGTATGCAATCTTATTATAGACATCCAGCCATTATCTCTAAACCTTAATCCTCACAAGCGTCGTGGGGGCCTGGAGTCTATCCCTCAGGGTGAAGGCAGGTTCACCTGGACAGGTAACCAGTCTATCACAGGGCTACACTTAGAGACAGACAACCAAGCACACTCACATTCACACCTACGGACAATTTACAATCACCAATTAACCTCAACATGTTTCTGGACTTTGGGAGGAAGCCGGAGAACCCGGAGAGAACCCNTCTCGTTACACTGCCCCCTACAGGTTTGGCAGCTCATAGCAGCTTTTATGCAGGTTCACATTCAAATCATCCTAAATCAAGGACTCATTTAAATGATTTTATCATTCAGGATCCCTGATTTGGCCGGTTTCACATCCTAAACATGCCAAAATGTCTTATTGTCAGGATGTCCCAGTGTTTCTCTTAGAAACCTCCACCTGATCCAAAATGCTGCAGCGAGTTCTGACAGGAACCAGATGGTATTTCTTATATATTAGCTTCACTTCATTGGCTGCCTGTAAAATCCAGGATAGAATTTACAGTCCTGCTTCTCACATATAAAACTCTTAAAGTCCAAGCTCCACCTTATCTTAAAGACCTTATTGTAGCGGATCAGCCCAGCAGAGCCCTTCGCTCTCAGGCTGCAGGCTTACTTGTGGGTCCCAGAAGCCTTCAGTTATCAGGATCCTCTGTTGTGGAATCAGTTTGGGAGGCAGACACCCTCTCTGCTTTTAAGATTAGGCTTAAAACTTTCCTCTTTGATAAGTCATGATCACCTGAGCCATGCTGTAGTTATGCTGCTGTAGGTGTAGACTGCCGGAGGATTCCCATGATGCACTGGGCTCCTCTCCACTACTCTCCTCTCTGTCTCTGCCATCACCGACCGCTGACTCATAGGAAGCCCAGAGGCCGCATTTGATTGTTGGGTTTTCTATTTAAAATGTGTTTAAACGCTGAACTGGTGCTCTGTAGATAACACTGAATTAAACAGTTGTTGTAACGCGTCTTGTCTTCTCTCTGTGAGACTTTTAACTAAAGGAAACGATCACGTCGCGTCCACCCCCACCGATAGGGGGGGACAAACGGGTCTGTTGTCCCTGGCCCAGAGTGGTGGGGGGCCCAGAACTGGACCCTCATTGAATTACGGATTTTTTTCCCCAAAGAAAGGCTATTAATGGAAAGAAACAGGGCAATATTTTAGTTAAAAGTTTTAATTTGTTTTCGTCTGAACTGTCCTTAATATCTTTGGAGTTGCCCTCCACCCCCACCTCCAACATGAAATGGTTTGGCCCCTGATTAACGTCTGATGTCCTTTGATTGGAAGTTCGGATTTTACACTTCAGCACCAAAATGTCCGCTCAGCAGAAGTCTGGTGCTCAGAAAAGGAAAAAGAAGAGAAAAGGAGAGGAAGAAAACAGAGGCCTGAGAGATTTGCTTAAAAAATACTTTAAAAAAGGTGGCGACACGAAGCTGGAACTAGTAACGTCAGCGTAGAGCGAGGTAAGAAACAGCGGAGCCAACGTTTGTTAGCCTTGTGACGTCATTTGGCTAGCTCTTAATATCCATTAGCTGTGATAGAAATCCTGACAAAACACGGTTTGTTTTGACAGGAACGGACGAGTTTAGTGGCTCCGTCAGAGAGGATGAGACAGAGAGGCCGAGGCGAGAGATCCACCTGCCGTCAGGT